TTTTTTATCCAACTCACGCGATTTATTGATACATTTAGAAATAAAAAAGGAGAAGTAAATGTAATTACAACGAATAAAATAACCGAAGTATACACCTTTGATGCCAATTACACACACGTATTCGAAAAAAGAAGATGGTGGATATTGCGTAGTGACTAGTAAATCTGCTGACGGTTCTGCAACATTTTCCGTGCCATGGAATATTCTCGTTACATTTATCCCAAAAGATTCCACATCTGGAACTTCTGGACCTTATGAGATTTACAAAGAAACGTCAACAACTGTGGTCGAATTACACATTTACAAATGTAACATAGCATACCAATCATCAGGATACAGCTGCATAATTAAAACAGTTGATGGAGGCCAAACCACATTTACTGAAATCGACTTCTTGGGCACAGGTAGTAACGGTAAAGTTACTAAAACACAAAAATATACAGTACCGCAGATTACGGCTGAAAAGGTTGTGACGGATGTTGAATCATTAGCTTATGGTGGATATGTTATTGTAACAAAGGATAGTATTACCGGAAAGAATAATGGTTATGTTGTCAATAATGAAGGAGTGTATAATGAAACTATAAATTGGGGTCTTTCCGATAAAGATTCTTACGTTGACGTTATTGTACTTCCCAATAATACAATTGTTGGTATTCCCAATGATTCTTTAAAAGTTGGAACTACTGGAAACAGTGGTGAAAGTATTACCATCGCCTCAACTGATGATTTAACAAACTATTCTACCGGTAAGTTTTTTTAAAGCAAAAATTAATTTTGTCTTCTTTAAAAAGAAGAAAAAAATTTTAATCATTCTTTTTATAGTTGAAGGAGGAGATGGAACAGCACCGGGAGGACCAGGTGGATATGGAAGTGCAAAAATATTATCCGCAACTCCAGGGAAAGGATCCACAGTACAATTGGGCACGAAACAAGCAGAAGAATTTACCATTACATATGGAATACCTGTAGTGTTTTCAACCGGAAATTTCAGTGTATACCAAGTTAATGGAACTGACGTGGTCTTAAAACAAGCAGTCTCAGCAAAAGATGAACAATATGTTACTGTTCAAGAAAATATTGTTACAGTTAAAATATTGAACAGTACTCTAAACACGTATAACGCTCCTAATGTTCCTTATTATGTTGAGGTTGATAATGATTTCGTAATGGAAAAATCAAATGGTCAAAACGTTATAGGAATTAGACCAAAACTTTGGAATTTTACCGCAACTAGTAAGTACTCGAATGAATCACGTGATTACTTTCTCTTTTTTTTTTTTTTTTTACTAAATAAATTATTCATATTCTTCAAGATTCAATGGCTTACCCAGCAGGAGGTACATATATATAATATTTTTTTCTGAAAAAAAAATATCTTTGATGTACTTTATATTAAGAAATTATTATTTTTTAGGCTCAGCTGATTCAGCTAGTGCAATTATCCGATTGTCAGTTAATGGAACGAAACTTTATAAAAGTTCTTCTTCAGAGGATAAAAAAACATTTGTAAATACAATGAGCGAAGAAATTTCAAGGGCAATTTCATGTGAACCAGGACGTTTAACAACCACCAAAAAATATCAATACGATGCTGAGACCAAAGAAGATCAATTCATAATGAGAGTTGACATCAAAAAAGCGACATCATTCGAACAAGCTAGTTCGGGTCAACTTATAGATTATTTAGATGGTGTCGTTAGAAATAAAGCATACAATTCATTATCGGATGGCGATAGCGCTAGTTATATTGATGAATCTAATGGTGCTCCTCGTACCGAAAATCTTAACAAATACAAGTTTATTCTTATCGGATTCTTTATTTTATTGTTCATATTGATCGGATTGGTATTTTGGGCTCGAATGAAAAATAAGAACGGACGAAACTTTTTTGCGATATTCTGCCTTGCGTTTATCCCAATTGATTTAATCTTAGACATTGCATTCATGTCCATTCATGGAAGAGATTACAAATGGGTTCTCCCCACATGGTAAGGATTTCTCCAAAAATTGTTAATTCCGAAGCAATCCTTTTTGACATAATAATATATTTATTTTATTTTTTTTTTTTATTGTAGCCTCGTCTTTTTCTTGGTTCCAATGCTTTTCAATTTATTATTTACAATTTATATAAATAGACTTGATAATGACAATGAAGCACTTAAAGTATGGAAGGATAATCATCCAATCGTGGCAAATGTATTTTTAGCATCATCGATTATTGATACAGATGCATTGCAAGAAGTATCATCAAAAGCTGGTGGGATTCCAACTTTGAGTGCGCCATATTCAGTTAAAGCCCAGAGATTAATCCTGATTTCTACCGGATTCGTAGCAGTTTTCGAAGATTTCCCTCAATTTGTTTTTTATAGTGTTTATTTATCAAAATACGTTAAACCGGCTATAGTACCAATTCTTGTCTTATCATCATGTATAATTGTTTTATTCTTGAAATTTTCTGCTCTAATATTTTACACCTGCTGTTATAAAAACGGTAGGAAACCAAGTGATAAAGAAAAAGTTATTAACGATGATAGTAGCAGCAGCAGTTCTTCTAGCGATTCTGGTTCCAAAGAACACAATTATGCACCTGATAATGCAGATACAGGAAGAATAAACGAGAAAACTGATACCGCTAATGTACCACCAACGAAAGGAAATTATTCACCATCAGATGGACCTTCTGGTAAATCAAATAAACCTACGGGTAGCGCGCGAGGTAATCCAGAACAACCGGTCGAATCTTTTGGAAATGTTAAACCAGTTGAGAACAAAACAATTAGTCCAATATCAGCCGAGAAAGAACCAATAACTTCTTCAGCACATAATGAAAATAATAAGAAGGGAAGGTTTTCTACATTAATTAGTGGTATTAAGAAGTCAAAGAAAGAAGAAGATATCAGTAATACAACCAATATTGAAGTAACAAAAAATACCACCACTTCTGATACTACTCTGAAACCAGTTATAGATAGTACAAATAGAGATAGTTCTATAGAAAATTATAATAATTTCACAAATTACCTCAACACAACAGAAGGAGCAAAATCGGATGGAGATAATTTAGCAGGAGCATCAAATTCAACTGTACTTGGATTTGGTTTGTATTCATTTGGTGGAGGTGGTGGAGGTGGTTATTCTGAAGGTAACAAAACAACTACCGTTACGTCATCACCAACAGGTCAAGAGACAATTATCAGTAAGGAAAGTAATACGGAAAACGATTTGAAGAAGGTTGCCACCGGAGTAGGAATTGCTGGAGCAGCAGCCGCAACAACCAAGTACGTCACGTCTAGTACTACTAGTACGGACGAAGCTGAAAAAGATGGATTTACTAAAACTGTGACGACCACCACCACGACAACATCAGATGGCGTAGTAGAACACATTACTAGAGCGATATCTGGTGAGGAATATGTTACTACGGAAGAAGAATACATTATTACCTCCACCGGGGAAAGAGGATATATTACTAAATTAACAGGTGAAGATGGGGACAAAGAATATTTTATTACCGCTACCGGGGGAAGAAAATATATTATTACTACAACGATAGGTGATCATGGTGCTAAAGAATATTTTATTACCTCTACCGGAGAAAGAATATATCTCATTATAACAACAGGTGATGATGATGGTGATAAAGTATATTATATTACCTCTACCGGTGAAAGAAGATATATCATTATAATGACTAGTGTTGAAGAATATATTATTAAATCCACCGGTGAAAGAGGATTTATTACTAAAATAACAGGTGATGATGGTGAAAAGGTATATTTTATTACTTATACCGGAGAAAGAAAATATATTATTACCATAACAATAGATGATCATGGTGTTGAAGAATATTTTATTACCTCTACAAAAGAAAGATTATATCTCTTTACAACAACAAGTGATGATTACGAGAAAGAAGAATATATTGAAGGAGACGGAAAATACATTACTACTACTACAGGTGGAAAAATTATCGAAGGTGGAAAGACAACAAAAACCACTTATATTACTAGTGGTGGTGGTGGTGACTCGAGAGAACATACTTCAATTAGTAGTTCAAGAATACCAATGAGAAAACAAGCAAGGAAACAAAATGAATCCATTAGTGAATCAACAGATGCCGACGGTATAACGACAATAACTAAAATAGTAACTACAACCGAAGAAAACGGTGAAAAAACCGTCACAAAAACAATCACTAAAAAAGACCAAAGTGGAAGAGAAATATCAAGTAGCTCTAGTACAAATGTTACAAATATTGCTGTTAATGATGAAACAGAAGAATATATTACCAATGTAATAGAAGAAGGTGAAGGAAGCGAAGTTATTACTACCTCAACTACGAGCGGCGGTGAAACTCGAACGATTACGACAACCTCAAGCACTGGTGGAGTCGCGGGTGCTTCTATAATTGAAACACAACAAACAAATACCGAAAAGAAAACTTCCTCCGCTGATAAGCATTCTACATCTTTAACGGCTAGTAATGATAATAGCATCAGTGGTGCACGTTCGATTAAAAGAACTTCATCTTATGGTAGAAGTGGTGGTAAAATATCAAAAGGTACCAAGAAATCTAAAGCGACTACTGCCTCTAAAGTAAATAGAAGTGGTGATGAAGACAAATTAGGAAGGGTTAATAGTGTTGATAGCGTTAGCAGTATGAGCAGTAGTGATAGCACTGAATAATTAACGAAAAAATATAATTATTTAAATTAATTATTTATTTATTTATTTACATGTTAAAATTTACATTTTTATTCGTTTTAATTTATTTAATAATGTAGCTTACAATTCATCTTATCTTATTATATTTTTGGGAATTTCAAACTTATTTGTTTTTTTTTTTTTCGATTTTCGATTTCGATTTACTTAATTTATGTTATTGGGATTCCAGAGGGTATTATTTCTTTTTTTTTTGGTTTGGGATGTATTTGGTTATATTAGAGATAGACATAAATATAAATATATATTAATGACAAGAATGTAAAATTAGCTTATTAATAAAGATTAATATAACTATATCTTGGTGGGTTATTAACGTGAAAATAATTTTCAACTGTTGTATAATTACACGTCAAATTATTATGTTCTTCATCATCATCAGAATCTCCAAGCACGCGTCGAGCGATTCTTTGATATTCCGGATGGCAAGGACAATAAAAACTTGTATCCTCATAATTTGGTAAATTAATAATATCTCCAACCTCCATGCAACTTAATAAATTAATCCTGGCCCTACCCCTACCACTAATCCTAACCCTATCATTAAATGGTTTCTTGCTATCATTATTATTCGGCAAGCTAATTAAAAAAATAAATTCTAATTCATGTTTAATCTCAATTAATGGAGTATCCAAGCTATAATATATCATATTGTTATTACATTTAGGTAATTCAAACATGAGAGTCTTTTCATAAATCGAACGTCCAATTTCTTTCTCTTCGCAATAATCCTCTTCCTTATCGATTAAATAAAGTTTCTTTACATTGTCAAATTGTGAATGATTTAAGTATTGAATGTATTCAGTTTTATGTCCATTATTTGTATAAGTAACATTTTGTACCAATCGAATTTGTATTGAATGTAATTTAAATTTTTTACCTAGAGGTATCAATTTAATATGAATAGGAACCGTATCACCAAGTGGAAAGGAGTTTTTAGGAATTGACAATTGATATTCGATAACTTGTTCATAATTTCTCGATATTTCTATACCATACGAATAATTATCATAATCTGGTAATCTTATTATTTCAACTTGACGAACGTTTAAAAGGGTTTTTGAATGAAATTTGGGAATATGATTAATCTTACACTTTAATTTATATTGTACGGATCCTAATTTTGCTTTGATTGATTCCGGAAGTGATCCTGGCAATTGAAATTCAAATGGTAATTTATGAATTCCTGATGGAAATGTTGAATAATTTTGCTTATTTGGTAATTTAGAAAATAATTTACATAACGATGAACTTGAATGATTTAGAAAGGTTATCTTCTTTGAAATAAGTTCTATTTTATCATCCGTGGTTGCTCCGAATGCTGTGATTACGAAAGGAAAAAAAAAAAAATTATTTTTGTTAATGTTTTTGTTTTCTTTTTTTTTTTTTGTTTGTTTTTTTTTTAAAAAAAAGTTTACGTACAACTTAGACCAAAGGTTCTTGTTTCTCCATAAAATTGTAATTCAATAGAAATGATTTTTTCTGGTTTATTCAATGTCAACGTGATTTCACCTCTTAAAAGTGATCCAACAGATTCATTTACATTTCCACGAAATATTACAACAGATTCGAATAAATCTATTTGAATATCTTGTTTATTCAATGGTTTGACTTCATTTTCTGAATATTTATTTGTAGAAAGATGAGTTCTAGGAAGACCATCTGACGTAAGTTGATGGATCATCGTTTGTTGTTTTTTGAAGGGTTCGATGAACTTTGCTCTTATTTATAATTATTTGTATTACAAAATAAAATTTTTTCAAAAAGGTTTCAGAATTAATGGAATTACTGCATTCCCGGAATATTGAATGATTGATGTAAAAAAAATCGCATACTAAGTAACAAATTATTGGTGGTGGGTTACTGCGCTTTCATACAAATCATCTACTAGGTCACACCACTACCATCTTATGGTTAATACCGTCAGGAGGAATTTTTGATGTCTCCAATGATTTTAAAACTTCCGATATTAAACTAAATTGGTAAGTTTCATTTGATGGAGCTTGCGATCACTTCCAACAATAAAATAATATGAAACAATTTTTAGACTGCATAAATAATGTGTGATCTCGGACGCATTTAGGTCATCTTTACATCGGAAGCAAATCTGTAAATATTGATAATAATTTATATCATAATCAGTTAAGTACTCACTTGTGAGGAGGTTCGAAATTCAGAAACATGCAATGTCTCTAACGTTCCGCCAAGAGTTGTTTTTTATAGGACTGGTGCCAAAGAGGAGGAATCACTTGTTCCATAAGCGATGACTACCGAATTATTAAAATCTTATTTATTTTCAATAATTTTTGCCATATACAGTGACTTCCATAATTATTGTACCACTTCGTTTATAATTTTTTAGATATAATCGAATGATTTGCAAGTTTAATTAATGTAACGTCGGAGTCTTCTTTTATATTATATTCAAAGTCAAATTTCTTTTTATTTATAATTTGTAAAAAAAAAATTCTTTCATAACCATAAACTTTATGGTACAATACTCTTGGCTCATATAACAAATAAAATCAAAAATATAAATTTTTCAAATTTTTTTTTAACAAACTATACTCTATTTTTTTTTTATTAAACTATCATCTCGTATATCTTCCATTAACCTTAAGTACATCTTTAACTCGTTGTGGCATAGTATTCAATTAGCTTTAAACAAAAATCAACATCAATTTGATTCCATACTAATTGTATCTTATTTCACAAATCTTCTGCACTAGTAATATCAGAAAGCTGTTGCAAACGACTATCAATTTCATTCAATATTAGTGTCATATGTCTTCTTTGCTATATGTTTTGGGTCATTATCCTGTTGGAAAATGACATATGTATATTCAAATTACATGTTCTAAGGACCCCTAAAAACTCACCTTTCATATTTCTCTATATAGCTCTCCATCTATTCTTTCATCAATTTTTACAATACTTTTCAATACCAAATGAACTTATACAACCTCATTTCATTACAGAACCTCTATTAAACTTTCCAGTTAGTTTAATATACTATAGTTGCAAAGATAAATTTGGATCTTTCCAATACCACTTTCTCTCATCTAAGACAAAATTAAGAATTTGCTTATATCTAATCACACTACTTTTTGCCAATCTTCTATATTCAATTCTTATATTTTTTGAACAAATTTTTTTGGGCTTTTCTATGTCTCTTTAAAAGCAATTTTTTTAATAAACATTAAATAGTATTTGGTAAAATAATAATATTTTCATTAGAAATTAAAAATTTTGAATTTGAATAGTATTATACATTAATC